ATAAAAGAACACTTTTACGCCAAATCAGGAAGAAATAACTGAAATTGCTTGAACATATGAGGAAAGAGGTCTTGGAAAACTTAACTCTCACATGGCATATTGAGAGCAGAAGCAATATTATATCCTCGCCAACGAGCTTGTGTGAATTGATGGCACAACAGGCGAGAAAAATAGCTAAGGGTTACAAGAGAAGTTTTAAAGAGTCATGATCGTCCATATCCCGAAGAAAAGCGACAAGTAGAAGTTTGGACCTGGACGTACGTTTTCCAAATCCATTTTTTTTTTATTTTATGGAACAGATTTTTAATAAAATTTCAACTAGTGTGTGTACTTTCACTGTGTCGTTTTGTTGGAAATATTTTGTCGATCGTATAATATGCCTCCACGATATTTATCGAATACCACTTCATAAGTCATTATATACTGAATAAACAACTTGTATCTTTCATTACTTTCCTTTTGAAATAATGACATGGACTGCAAAGTTAAAAGAAAGTTTCAACAAAAGCCTAACGGTTAATGAGCAAGAATTTAAAATTTACAACATAAAAGTCAAAGTCAGTGATTCTTAACCGTCGTGCCGCGGTGCACTAGTGTGCCGCGAAATATCGTCACAGCCTCAATTGAGCACTGTTGAGAGATAAGCTGATTCTATGAACAACAGTCATCTGCGCTAATGCAAACCTCTTCAGTAAAATGAATTGGAGCCCTCTGATTGGCGTTTATTTACATTCGTAAAAACAATACGCTAGAATTAGCTGTTTCTCTCTGCTGAATGATGATAGCTCAGTGGTAGAAACTCTTTCTGACGATAAATCGGTCGGGTTTCGGTCCTGGCTTGAAGCATTCGGATGTCTAGTCGCACTGAGGAGCTGTGATACTGCGAAACAGTGCTGTCTACCAATTATATATATATATATATATATATATATATATATATATATATATATATATATATACACACAAGTGTATGATTGGTGTATACGGAATAAATTCCAATAACCAACAATTACTATTCTTAAAAGAGTGCTCAATACTGAGTAGAGCAGATATAATTATTTATTTAAAAATTATAACATAAATATGTTATAAAATCACTACAATATATATATATATATATGTGTGTGTGTTTAATTAGTAATGATACAGCGTTAGTATCTGAATAAGTATTAAACTTTTTAAAATAATTCTTTTCAATATTCTTCGGTTATGTTATTTTAAATACTTTTTAATATTCATTTTTTAAAGTATTTTTATTTTTTTTAAATTAACTTTTTCAACTTTTTCTTTATTTGAATAAATGAGTATTAATCTTATTAATATTAATCATAATTTTATTCAATGTTCTTTGTTTAATTCAAAGTTTTTACAAAGTTATATTGAATTATAAGTTAATATTGTCGAAGTTTCTGATAGATCGAGAAAATATCCAGGCACATGTTTCACACAAAATAAACTGCGCAAATAGTTGAATAGAAACATTGAAATAAATTTCGTTCATGTGTGTGCGTACTTTTTTGATCTATGATTTTATTGTAAAATATTTAAAATGTATCCTCTTTAAAAAAATTTACTAAGTACGCCGTGGTATTTTCATTTGCTCCGAGGTGTGCCGTTGCTTAAAAAGGTTGAGAAACACTGGTGTAATTAGATAATGTAAACTGAATAAAATAGATATAGGTTTCATCTGTTGATGTCTTAATCACTACTTCTGGCTTAACTTTTTCGGTTGTAGGTTGGTGTAGCTGATTTTTAACAGAGAGCTTTCCAATCAAACATAATTCATATTTTTTTATAGAACAACGCGACTATCCTTAAGAGGAGCAGAACACAGACACAATGGTAATAAAACAGAAGGAGTCATTGTAACGAATGAAATGACAAGCATTTACATAACATGCAAAAATGTTATTAAGCATACAGAAAAAAACAAACAATAATTGAACAGTACTAAATAAGAGAACTAGACGATATCTAAACAGTGAAATGTGAACAGCATACTCCCGTAGATTAAATAAAGGGCTAAGTTCGGAATTTCCTGTAAGTTAAACCTGAGGAAGACCGGAGGGCATAACGACCGAAACGTTGTTATAAGAACAAAGATGAGGACCAATTATCTCCTTCTTTCGCCCTTAACTCTGGAAGGAATCGAACTTAGTTGTCTACCATTCTCCTCCATTTGTCGCGGTCGTGTGCCAGAGCCTGGGTCTCCGCGAATGGTTTGTTGGTGTGTTCATCATTTGGCGTGTCTTGGGCGTTTTAATCTGGGGAGCCTATCCCTATCCATGTCCGAATATAAATAGTGTAAATAGAAAAAAAGAAACAAGATGAAAGTTTTAGCCAGAAAGACGTCTGTATTTCATCACTCTTCCCGATTATTACACTCTTAAACGTTATTTACCCCACGTATCTGCTTAAATTGCGTCTCTTACTCTGTAACCCTCTGCTTCGAGTGGCTCTTGGGCCTTATACAGTGTGAACATCATTGTAAAAAAAACAAACTATGTTGAAAAGAGAATGTTCTTTTTAAAATCGGTGGAATTGTTCAAATAAGTAGTGATTTTCCAAGGGTAGCTTAGATGTGGCACAAGGCCGAAAGTAAAGGGCACCCAGTGAGGATCGAACTCAGTCGTAATTGTTTTAGCGAGCCAAGCTTGCTAACCATTACACCACCTCGAGGTGCCCAATTGTTCAGATAAGTAATGAAGTTTAAATTCTCTTTTTGTGTTTTGTTTCGGCGAGTAGAACTGAGAAAGCCTCTTTTCAAATATGCGAATAGGATTTAATAGTTATGCATTAAAATTTCAACAACGGAAGATGACTATTCATATTATGTGTATGCATAAGTTGTGGGAAAATTATCATTTCGCATGTAAGAAGTGTGTGTAGAGAGAGTGTGGCACAGTTAATTTCTCTGTTCGTCGAGAAAAGTGGTAAGGGAAACTTGTCAGGTGTAGCTGGGGGCTGCCTGGATTAAATTCTCACACTTTTAGAATCTGATCTATTGACTTGAAAAGATTTTTCGGCCTCTTATGTCACTTTAGAGCAGGCCCGTCGCCAGAGTATTTTTTTTAATGAAGGGGTAATAAGAATGTGCACAGTAAAATTACTTCATAACATTTTCACAGGAAAGGCTAATGATTTTTGTCGGGGAACAAACCGCCGAGTTCCACTCATTTGGCGGTTTAGAGTCTTCAAAATGCCACGAACATTAAGTAAATCTGATTGGCTAATAAATTTTAAAATTACGTCATGTGACGTTTCTGCTACGTTCAATCGGATTTTCAGTTTTGACATAATGCTTCTGAACAGTTTTTAATTGTAAAAAATAGTTTTGTACTCGTACAAACACCACACACTATACAAATAAAAAGACAAATATAGATAAGTAAATAGATAATATGTGAGCCAGATGGAAACCTGGATAAAATAGATATTAACAGAATAGGATCGATTTCATGGTGAAGTTTATTGTTATAAATTAAAAATTTTAGAATTACCTTCTTCTGTTGCCAGACATTTTATTATACCCTGACCTATAATGCGTTATAGAAACTTAATTACTTTTTGGGAAGTTAGCTTAATATGTGTGCCTAATATATTGTATCTGACCATGTAATTGTATTAGAAATATTTCGTGTGAAACGTATGACATATTTATTTAGAAGTGGAGGAGTGGTTCACCTTAAATTGAAAGAAAAAAAAAAACAAGGAGAGAGAGAAAAACAAAATCAATAGAATTATCAAGTAAAATGTGCACCGTAATCAATGGTGGATTTACCTATAGGCTTAGCAGGGCTTCAAAGGATAGCGGCTCGGATTGACGAATCGGAGAGCCGAGTTCAACTTCCAATCGAATCCATTACATTCACTTACATGATAAAACCCTTGGGAAAGGCATGAATCCTCTTCGTCCCCCACCAGCAGCTACTGGTAAATAGCAGGACAAACAGGGTTCTATAGCCTTGGATGGCAACTGGTCAGAAAGAAACCTACTGTGGGAAAAAATCTGCTTCGTCAGTCATATATCGAAAGATACATGATCGCCTAAGCGTGTATCACGCATGGCACATAAGTGACTGAGGGCTTCAAATCTATGGGGCCTACAGCCAAGGTGTATAATATTTTTGACACTGCCTTTCTTACACATGCTGTCATAATGCATTGTAGGCTCTAAACAACATTTCAGTAATTTTTAAAATCCTCGGCTTTACTCAAATTGTTTAATTTAACACTCTTTTATTTTCCTCTACTTGTGACAATAGGGGATTTGAAGGCCCCCCCCCACGTGGAATAGCCTAGAGACTCTCTTCATCTAAAATTGGCCCTGCCCGTAATTCATTGGGGACGTATGGGCGACGCATTTACTGCAGCCAGAGCAGAAGTGGCGTGTCTAGAGAAAGAGAGCCTGACGGAGCCCAAACCTCTTTAAGTTGATTTTGAATTCAGTTCTCCTTCTCCTAAACCACCTCATAGAAAGAGAACCTAGTCTACCCTGCTATTTAGCCCCTAGCTGGAGGGAGATGGATTCATGCCTTTTCCAAGGGCATTGGTGCGAAGTGAACAAAACAAAATCGAGCAGGAATTGAACGCAGCTCGCTTAATTCATTATCCGCGCCTCCTATCAAGTAAAGAAAGGCTAAATTGAATAACTAGTTTTCTGTAAGTTCTTTTTTTTTTTATAAATTAAACATCACTATCATTATTAGTATGCTCTATGCCAGTGCATAAATTAATGGATAGAGTCATTGCTCAAGTAGGCGCCTACCGTAAAATCAATCGGTAACAAACTTGTTATGTCGACCGATTCGATAATATAGCGAATATGATGTTCAATAAGTCTCCCAACTAAGCTTAGGAAACAATGGCTGCTCAAATAATTAAACAATGTCTGCTTTTGTACCAAGTCGTGATTAACCCGACAAGTTTCAAAATACATGTGACATGCATAAAACTTCAAACAAAGCAATATCGCTAAAAGAAACAAATGACTGATTTGAAACACACCGGTTCCCGTATGATCACTGAAGTTAAGCAACGTCGAGCCTGGTCAGTACCTTGATGGGTAATTGTTTGGGAATACTAGGTGTTTTAAGCTTGGACGTGCGGGTGGTGTAATGGATAATGGCTCAAAATTGTTAAACGGACAGCCGAGTTCCAGTTCCCATTGGGTTCGTTATATTCGATCGACCGCGAATCCCGTGACCCATCAGGGTCGTAGGAGCCCACACGCACCGCAGCAGGTGGTGTTTCTTGGATACCCTCGCCAAGCCGGTTTTGAATTCAGAGTTTCCTTCTCCTAGACTAGTGGTCACCGAAGGCTATAGAACTCTGTCTTGCTATTTACCCATAGCTGGGGTGAGGGAGAAGAAAAGGATTCATACCTTTCTCAAAGGTATTAGCACATAAGTGAATGTAATGGATTCGACTGGAATTCGAACTAGGCTCTCTGATTCCCCAATCCGAGACTCCTCGTTATATTCCCTTACGTGCAAATACCCTTGGGAAAGACATGAATCCACCTTTTCTGTTCCCAGCTATGGATTAATTAGTAAGACTTATCACTAAATCATTATTATCTAAAAAAATTCTTAGAATCTAAAAATATTTTCTGGCTTTAAATAACTTGCAAAGTGTTGATAAACCGTAGAAAACTAATCAATCAAAAATTACTAACTCAACACGCACAGGTAAACAGACTACTCATTGATCGACTATTAATTCTATTAAAACGAAAAGCAAAACTTTATGCTACTGACAACAAATAAGTCTTATGGACAAATGTAATAATGTTAGAGCGTATCGTTAACAAATCTCTTCACCAGTCAAGATGCGATAAAATGTTAGAATTGAAGAATACGTTCGATATATAAAGTAGAAATAAAAGAATTTGTTAAAATTGTCGACATTAACTTTATTGAACCATATTTACATTTTTGTTTCACACTCTGTTGCCTTCTTTATCATGGATGGTAAATTTGCATACACGGTATGCAAATTTGTTATAAGTTAGAACAGGTTTAGATAACGCTTCTTTTTGTCACGATCGAGTTTGTTTTGTTTTTTCTCATTTTCGTTTTAACGCTAACAGAAAAGTACTCAGATATAGAAAAATATATTTTCAAATATAACCATGAAATCAATAAAATAATCAGGGACATCAAAAAATAAATAAATAATATTAACAAGGAACTTTTTTTATATTTAGCCAAACCACGTAAATAAGCGTGTGGCTGAGTGGTTAGAAAGTTCGCTTTTCGACCCTGAGACCCAGGTTCGATTCTTTATGGTATCAATCTCGGGAGGCGATCCCTGTGTGCGACACCTTTGGAAAATGCATGAAAAAACATATCACGGAACCGTAAGAAAACCGTCGATGATAGCACTAAGGCATTGGCTTTGTTCAACTGTCCATCACGAGCCAGAGTATACGCTCTCTCCCAGAAAGTAGGGTCGGATCAATATAGATGCAGTATAAAGCAGAGGCGGGCTTTGTGGGTGTTGAACAAAGACAAATGTGCCTGAGCAGCTGAGTGTGCTCAGAAAGACGAGTAGCCGGTCATTATATGTATAATTATTACTTTTAAAAAAAATATTCCATCGCTACACAGGAATTGCCATGTTTCAAAAACAGAAGCTAAAATCTTCTAATTCAATTATAGAATTAAATTAAATTAAATTAAAGTGCCTAGTTCTGTTTCATTTTCAAGCGAGTTTTGGAATAACTTATTTTGTAATTTACGGAGCTTTATAAGGAGCTTTCTAGAAACTAATATTATGAATGTACAAAACAAAAACACTAAAGTACTTCGGGTCATCAATCTAACGGTTCTTTCCTATTTTACCAATATATTTGCATATATGACTTGCTCTCGTTCGCCGATTGAGCACCATGGAGAAAGGGAATTTTCAACAGCTGCTCCTCCTACCTAACGCATAGCCCTTCGCAAGAATTGAGCTCTCTGGCTGCTGGTCTAGCGTTTATATACATCACATATATAATACGTTAAGATTCCTTTTCTCTGCCGTGCGTCGATAACTTAGATTCTCCGACTAATGCTAAAACAGTCGAGTTTCGATCCCGGCCTGAAGCAATATCTAGCCACACTGATGAGCTGTGATACAGCAAAACAGGCTGTTTGTGGATGGATATATATATATATATATATATATATATAAATGGCCGGCTATTATATAAACAGTAGCCTAATAATGAGAAAAAAATGTTCCACAATAAATAATTATTTTCAACAAAAATGTCTTCACAAGAAAGGTGATTTATTTAGTAGTCGATATTAATCACATAGATCAAAAATTATACAGTGAAAATTTCAGATCAGAATTTAGCAAATAACGTCTTTAACTATGTCCGGAAAATATCCAACCATTTTATATTAACGAAATGAAAGCAACCTATCACTCTATTATATGGGAAGTGAGAAAAATAGTAAAGAGAAGTCTTTGGAGATCTTAACCGCCTCATGAAGGGACGCAACATTTAAAAATTAGAATCAGTATTAAGTCTTCCAAATAACATAAGCCACGCCATTTGAATACTTTCAACAGCAGCAGCAACAACTAAAATGGATACCACATGTAACCTGAAGAGAAAATAATAACATAATCAAGATGTTAACGTTCTACTTTATTTCCAAAGGTTAGGAAGAAAACATCCATCAATACGGGAAAGAGTGATAACAGCTAGTGAACTTGAGAAATCCTCTTTCCTGAAAAAACTGTTTTATTAGAATGATTTGATAAAGTTCAGCCGGCGGTAGCACTGGCTGTTGGATCAATGAATGATGAAGGCTTTTTTATGAGAAAAAGGCCAAAATTAGCATCACTATTACCAACAAAGACAGTGGACAAAAGTCCAAAGTCGTGATTAACGCATCAGCTCTCTGAAGTTAAGCAGTAATGATCCTACTTAGTATATGGATGGGTGACAAATTTGGGACAACAGGTAGATTCTCTCTCTCACACACACACACGTGTGTGTGTGTTCATCGCTTTGATCGGACATTTGAATGTCTGTGTTATTAGCACAACAACGATTTGGTAGTTACATTTTACAAGCTTCTTGAGGTGTAAAATTCATCGGGAAAGAGAAGTTTTCTCTTTTCTTTCTTTGTTTATTTATTTATTTTTTTTTTAAACCTTTTTTTTTCTTGCAAATTATATATCTGAAGATAGTTGTCGATCAAATCAAGTGAAAATCTTCGTTACGACATCGACGAGACAAAGGAGTTCAAGTGCCCAAGCAAAAGGTTGGAATGTTAATCTCGTCTCAAAGTAATTGGCAATATATCATCTCTTTAGAACATTTCACATTTCCCCTATAAATATTGCAAAATTTAAGTACTAATATATATATGTATGATTAAAGACAAAATTTATCTTAGCCAACGCGTTTCGTCCTCTGACGGACTTTGTCAAGGCAATGCGTCGGCTAAGATTAGTTTTCCTTTGTCTTTATTCATATTGTCCTTTTACAGACATAGTTTATCTGAAATTTGATGGATAGATGCTGCGATGGATAAATTTTCGTCTAAATTACGCAAAAATTAAAATAACATTTCTATCTCATTTTAACAGATATATTTACAAAAATTATACAATGACACAAAAATATCTTGAAATACTGAACAGCAGATTTATTCAATAAAATCGCTATTGGCCTCAACCACAGTCTTCTTGTTTAAGTTGGTGAATGCTGCCATAATCCTTGACTTCAATTCATCTTTGGTGTTACAAGGAGTTTTGTTAGTCTCTCGCTCAGCTGCACCCCATACATAATAATCAAGAGGATTGCAGTCTGGGGAGTTAAGTGACCAGATATAAGGGGTGATGTGGTCGCAGAAATTGTGTGACAGCCATGACTGGGTTCTCCCGCTTGTGTGGCATGGTGCAGAGTCCTGTTGCCAGACATAAGGTCTTCCAGCAGCTACCCTCTTGACCCAGAGCAGTACTACTTCCTCAAAGCACTTGATGTAGGCCTCTGTGTTGAATTTGAGGGCCTGTGGGAAGATGAATGGAGGCATAACGTGATCACTCCAAACACTTTTGTAATCACCATTAGACTCCTCCCACTCTTTCCGAATCCTCTGCATTGTTCTCAGATTGACAACCAAACACTCTGAAATGTTCGTATTGGAGCTTCTGGTGTGAATGCCAAGCAATACAGCATGCCGTTTCCAAATTTCTGGCAGAGTGAATTGCGTCATGGAGCTCTTTTTCTCATAGACGATATCCAACTGACGTACTATACTATAGTCGACAAAATCAAAAACAAACAACGCGCATGCGCGAAATCAGAAAAATATAAAATGGCGACAATTTATTCATCGCACCCTGTACAGAGAGATAGTGAGGGAGAAGGATAAAAATAGATTAAAAATCTGGTTTCGAGAACATACGTGTACCTCCATAATATCTAAAGACTAAAGATTTTATGCTTGTTTTTAAAGATACATAATTACATTAAGTGCATGTTCTAAAGGTATTTTAATCGCGAAATAATTTAGTGAATAAAAAAATGACAAGCCAAGGAAAAGGTTAGCAAAGAAAAGAATGGATTAGATTTGACATTTTAAGACAAACTTAAAAAGTTATTTTATGAAAAAACTAAGAACAAAATAAATTGTACGAACGTGATGTGGTGTGGGGAAAGTTTTCGAGCCGAACAAGCAGAGAATAAAAAAAAAAGAAACGTTAATGTTTTATAATAATTTTTCAGCTTTTATATAACCATGCCAATTCAAATAAAAACTTCCGCCAGGAATTTTTATATAACTCTAATATACGTGGGAGAAAATTAGTACAGAAAAGTAAGTTTTGCTGTATCAAATAAGCCCCGTGACTTTGGGGCGTAAAAGAAATCATTTGATCGTGCCGACACTTGTTTTTGGTACACAAGAGTATTTATATATTACATTTAATACGTATTCAACAGTAGATATAAATTGATTTAGGTAAAGTAACTTCAAACATGGTACAAATGTCTTCTACTTTCATCAATTTTTAAAAAAAAAATCATAGAAATTACCACACTCGGACTACAATCTTAATCTCAACAATTCTAGAATCTACCG